AATTATAATCTCAAACCAGAGGAGATTCCTAATAACAAAATTATTATAATCCTCAAGCCAGAGGAAGTTCCCAATCCACAAAGACTTTAGGAGCAATAAGACACATATTTTAATGCCACCAACATAGGCAAATCTTGTCCATCAGGTAGGATGCATGCAAGAGAGTGGTCCTGTGATAGGACTGTAGCAGGAAGGGGGTCCCATCCAGGTCTAGTATACCATACTTTTACTCCTTTCCCCATGGGGGTTACTGAAGGGTCTATATATAGTGCTACTGGAGGTGCATGTACTGGCCATAATGATAAAATAAAACTCCCCAGTAAGATGCTTCTACCTTCTGGCCATTCAGATATACTACTGTGACCTTTGGTGGCCACTCTGCTGTTATTCCAGGAATACATGAGGCCAGCTTCCAGGCCTTGTTCCCAAGGTGCCAGGAGAGCCAGCCATCATTGGTCCGTGTGTTGAAAGGTCCAATTCATGCCCACTCAATGGAGTCTCCGGGGTTCAGTGCAGTTGGTGCTGGCAGCAAGATGTTATTCTGGTGGCCAAACCTCAGCTTCAGTGAATCTTACTTGGTTTGTACTTGCAGTTGTATAGGGGTATGACCTTATTCAGTTCTCTGTAATTCACAGTCATACGCCAAGAGCCATCTGGCTTTTTTACTGGGCACACTTGGGAATCAAAAGGACTATGGGTGGGCTTTATAATACCCACCTTTTCCAGCTCCTGGAGAGTTTCTATAATCTATGCCCTCCAGGCAGTTTGTATTGTTCGGTATTAGTCACTTGCTGAGACACAGGCAAAGCTATGGGTGGGTGCCTAGCATATCCCCTCAGAACTGCCTTCACCACATGTACTCTCAGTCTGAGCTCACCTGCAGCAGTCTGCAACCATAGACCCTGCAGGATATCAATTCCCAAAATATACTCAGGGATAGGAGATTTATACATAGTATACTCTTGAGGGTAGATGCCCTATTCCCAAAGGGCTTTGGGCTTTTTTCACTCTGATAGCCTTATCCCCACATCCACCTGATAGTGGGGATCCCGGGGAACCACTCAGGGTTACCATGAATCAGTGAACATTCAACCCCAGTGTCCACCAGAGCCAGGACATGTTGTATGTTCAGTGGGGACCAATGAATAGCTATTTCAACATGTGGCCTCTGGTCCCTCAGGGCAGATAGCTTGACCTTCCCCTCAGTCAAACTGTGTTCCCCAGTCACCTTCCTCTGTGGGCTCAAGTGAGGTTGGCTCACTCTCCAGCAGGAAGTCTTGCGAATACACAGGCCAGACTTGTGGCTCTGTCTCTGACCTCTGCCTCTTTGGTCTTAATGGCTGGAATTGCTGCTCTGGTTTCAGCTGTTGCCATAGCTCTAGTAAGATCCTATTTGACTTCCCACCTAATTTCCTTACATTTGCTCTGGCCTATATTAAATCAACCCATATCTGGGTCCTTTTAACCTTTATGGGGCCCTGTTGATTCTTCTTGTGAGTAACAGGTCTTATTTCCGGATTCTCATTGCTTCAGCCTCTCCTAAGTCTGCTACTGTACATGTCACCTCACTTATGGGCTGCCCTAAGTGAGGGGAAAGAATGGCCACTAGAGACCCAAAGAGGGATGTAGGAACTGTTAGAAGTAAAATATTTTTCATCCCAGTAGTGAAAATCTCTTCATCTGAGCCATAATTCTCTGGACTATAGATGGCATTTCTTATGCCTAGCTCTCATAACACCTGTTGGAGTTCAGCGTAACAGGAGAGGATGGTAGATCACCCAGATTGGGGCACACAGCACAAAGTGCAGCCATAAGCCAATTGAGGAGGGAGTGACTCCCTCAGGTCTGATGTGCATTTTGTAATCGCTGCCTCAAGGTGGGCTGCACTGTCAGGGAAGACAGCTTTCCCATCTGTGATCCCAGCAGAACAATCCCATCCACACCTAAGTCCCACAGATGCAGGAGCCAAGCTGATATTGACTCTGAGGGCTTCTGCCTAAACTAGTAGCCCAAATCCACCAGCTCAGCCTGAGTATAGGGGTGAACCACAGAGTGCTCCACGACCTGGGGAAGGGGCTGCCCCTCGGGGAACTTTCAGCTGCTGGGTCTTTATTTTCTTTACAACCAGTGGGCGTGCTTTCAATACAGGAGGGCCAGTGCCTGCGGCACCACCCCTTCATCCTTCTCCAGCTTCTCCATTTCTGGGGCTAATGGCACCTTTCTCTCCCCTCCCCCAAGTGCCCCTCTGCTACAACCTTTATCTTTTCTACAGTGCCTCACAGCAATGCTACCTCAGTCATCAGAAGGTCTCTTTCCTTCAGCTCAGTGCTTCACAGCTGATGTTCTCATGCCACCTCCGCCTGTGCTTCCCTCAGGAGTTTATCTTTTTCCTTGATGGCCTCATCCTCCTTCAGAACACCTGGCAGCACTGCCATCTCTTCTCCAGTGGCACCTTGCTGCCAGCGCTCTCGTGCTGCCTCCTCTTGCCTCCTCTCACATCAATGCCATCTCTTTCTTCAGGGCATCCACAGAAGTTTGCAGCTTGTGTTCTTGTGCCACCATTTCTTGGGTCTCCTCTGTAGACTTTTTTAATACTGTGAGAAGCAGCCAACCCACAGTCCCCACTGCCTCCCAGGCACTCTGCTTCTCAAAGATCTGCTTACTATACCAAGGGCCACCCCTACAGCCTCAGGTGTCACCTCCACTTGCCTCCAGTCCTGGGGTGGGGCCTAGTCCACTAGGAGGCAAGCCACCTCAGACCACATACCCATTGGGGGATGATCCACTCTTTCCCCATTCACAGGGGCAGGCTGCTGAAACACCCCTCCCATAAGGGCAGCTTGTCTTTTTCCTTGGTCAACAAGAACCCTGCCTACTTTCGCCAGTTGTCTTGCCAATGGGTTTCAGCCCCGGGAAAGTTCGTTATAGATTCAGTGTGACCAACGAAATTGATAGCAGAACGTTCTTTGGGGTGAAAGAGTTTATTACCTTGTTCTCCGGCGGTAGGTCCAGCACTAGCATCTCTACCCCTGCACAGAGCACTGGGCTGAGCTCTCTATATAGCACAATAATGGTTTATTGCCTAAAAGTGTGGAAGCAGTAGCCTAGCAACAGGCCATGACATCATCAGGTGGTTTAAGTTCAGTGAGGATCCTGGCCATGGGAACCCCAACTTCCCCACACCAACATAGCCTTTTTTTTCTCTTGCACTCAGATGATCCCAAGTCATATTTGACAGTCATTCTTCTGTACTCAATATCTATCTATGCCTTTTTTGGTTAGGATTTCATAAGCCTTTCAATGTTAGCATGATGGGAAAATATTTGAGATAGCTTTCTAGGAAGCAGAAAGTTGCTATGGCTGTGTAGGAATGGAAAGGAGCACCTAGGAAAAATGTAGAGGAACAAAAGTTTAAATAAATGTAACATTGATAAGTAATAGTATCAACTCTAGTGGAGATAAGTAAGTCATTGTAGTACATTGTAGTTTAAAAGGTTAGACACAGACATACATATTATGTAGTTATGGGAATTAAATGAGTAACATCTATTGTGTATTTGGGGTTTGTTATTTAGTGGTAAATGAACTTAGAGCTTGTTTATGCCACTTATGAAACTTAGGGGTAAGAAGCTAATAGAATAACAAATGAGAAAATTAATAAATACATTATTCCAAAGTTGGGGAAAGTATTATAAAGGAGCAACAGGTTGCTGGGATAGAGCATAAAGTACATAGACTTAAATAGGATCAGCAGGAATAGCTTTTCTGAAGTGATTTTTGAGTTGAGACCTGAAGATGAAGAGAAGCCAACCATATACAGTCAGAGGATTTCTAAGAAGGAGCAACCTGTGAACACTCCTATTTAATGGCAACAGTTGTAGTGCATTTTGTGAGCTGAGGAGCTGATAAGGAGAAACCTTATTATCCATGTTCAGGTATTTATATTCTAATTATAAAGAGAAATCATTGAAAACATTTGACTCAAATATTGATCAGCATCAGAATAATTTGCTGAAGATTGTAAATAAGTACAGAACAAAAGCATGCCCAGTGCCTAGTCCGTAGATTATGCTTCAGTCAGTTAAAAATGCCTCTATACTTTTAACATCTCCAGGTGATTCTTATACACACTTAAATCAGGCCTCCACTGATTTAATTTATTTCCCTAATCAGTCTCAGCTCCATTCCTGGGCTCTCTTTATTCTGTTTCCTTTACCTTTATTTGAAATGTATGAAAATACAGACTGTTCCAAAATATAGTTAATAATCAATAATGCAAATTAGGTTAATAGTAATGGTGAAAAAGGTAATAATATCAGTATAATGTGGAAATTATTTGGTTCACAAATAATATTCCTAGTTGAATGGAGCCAGAATAGTAATAGACCCACAACATTCAGCAGGAAAGGCAAAAGCCTTCAATTTGATGCTTGTTAGGTGCTCTTTCATCTCTGTATTAAGAAAACATCAAGTGCACCCAGAGCTCCTTCCCCAGAGATACATACCATCAACCTCACATGGTTCCTAGCTAAAAACAGGTTACATTTTACCCTATTTCCACTTTAATGGTAGCCTCATTGGCTCAGGACTTTATTTTCATGTTCAATGTCACAGCACTGGAAATATAGCACTTCCACTCTATTTTTGGTTTTTTTAGTACCCATGAAGCAACCTCAGCCAGCAACCTTCAATCTTCAGCTGAGCTGCCTTTTGGGTTATCTCATGAGATATCAATTATATTTGTTTGCACTCTGCTAATAAAGTTGCATAGCTTTGGGTGGTCTTCTCCAGCCCTGTTTTCCTCATAAACTAATTTGGTAATGTGTAATTTTACAGAAGACAAGGGTTTTTAATACACATATGGTATTGTAGCAGAAATGCCTGTTTTTGAGATGTCTTAATTGTTCACTTGTAATAGGTATTATTGTAGCTGTCTTTATTTCTTTATAGAAGTTTTCTTCCTTGAAACAGGAAAACAGCATTTGTTTGCTTTCTTTCAGATTTGGAGTCCAGATACAGAACCAATATGTTATCTCCAGAAAAGGACATTTATGAAATATATTCATTCCAGTGGGAGATAATGGAAAGAATTAAGAGCTATAGTTTTGAGGACTCCATGTTTAGACATGATTGGGAATGCAAAAACAAGATTGAGGGGCAAAAGGAACCACTAGAGGGATATTTTGGGCAAGTGAAAATTACTTCTGAAAAAATAGCCACATACAAAAAGCATAATTTTCTTGCTGAATATCAGAGAGTGCATAATGGAGAAAAGTTATATGAATGTAAGGAATGTAGGAAGACCTTTATTCGTCGCTCAACACTTAGTCAACACCTGAGAATTCATACTGGTGAGAAACCTTATAAATGTAAGGAATGTGGGCAGGCATTTAGACAGCGTGCACACCTTATTCGACATCACAAACTTCATACTGGTGAGAAACCCTATGAATGTAAAGAATGTGGGAAGGCCTTTACAGTGCTACAAGAACTAACTCAACATCAGAGACTTCATACTGGTGAAAAGCCCTATGAATGTAAGGAATGTGGAAAGGCCTTTAGAGTACATCAACAACTTGCTCGACATCAGAGAATTCACACTGGTGAGAAACCCTATGAATGTAAAGCATGTGGGAAGACCTTTAGGCAGTGTACACACCTAACTCGACATCAGAGACTTCATACTGCTGAGAAGCTCTATGAATGTAAGGAATGTGGAAAATCCTTTGTATGTGGTCCAGACCTCAGAGTGCACCAGAAAATTCATTTTGGAGAGAAACCCTATGAATGTAAGGAATGTGGAAAGGCTTTTAGAATATACCAACAACTTACTGTCCATCAGAGTATTCATACTGGTGAGAAGCCCTATGAATGTAAAGAATGTGGGAAGACTTTTAGATTAAGGCAACAACTTGTTCGCCATCAGAGAATTCATACTCGTGAGAAGCCCTATGAATGTATGGAATGTTGGAAGACTTTTAGTAGTTACTCACAGCTTATTTCACATCAGAGCATTCATATTGGGGAGAGACCTTATGAATGTGAAGAATGTGGGAAAGCCTTTAGATTGCTCTCACAACTTACTCAACATCAGAGTATTCATACTGGTGAGAAACCTTATGAATGTAAAGAATGTAGAAAGCCTTTTAGACTGCTCTCACAACTTACCCAGCACCAGAGTATTCATACTGGTGAGAAACCTTATGAGTGTAAGGATTGTGGTAAGGCTTTTAGACTTTATTCTTTTCTTACTCAACACCAGAGAATCCATACTGGTGAGAAACCTTACAAATGTAAGGAATGTAAGAAGGCATTTAGACAACATTCACACCTTACTCAGCATCAGAAAATTCATAATGGAATTTAATACAAGAAAACTTTTATGTTACAGAACAAATTCATTTTTGAGAGAATATTTCATGCTCACAACTAAGCATAAATTTTTATATTACTGCTACTGCAGTCACTGAGGTCCTCAGTTTCTATCTGGATGTTGGCTGAAGGCTGACCTCAGTTCCTTGCCACATGGGCTTCTTCAGCATGGCTGCTTGCTTCATCAAAGTGTGCAAGCCAAGAAGCCAGTAGAATCTGCTGACATCATAGGAGTTATCATCTTGTGTAATCTAATCACCAAAGTAAATTTCATTTAGTACCATCTCATCACCTTTTCTGTCTTCTACTCGTTAGAAGCAAGTTACTGGGCCATCCTATACTCAAGGGAATATGATTATACAAGAATGTGGATATCAGGAGGCAAGAATCATTGAAGGCCAATTAGAGTCAGCTTGCCAAGCTGTATAATAGGATTGTTTTAAGGATTAAGTAGTTAAGACCTGGAGAAATGCCACATAGCATGTCTTCTGTATATATTATCTATAATTATTATCATTAGCATTAGTGAACTCATATGAATGGATATCCTATAGAATACATGTAGAAATGCCTCTTGTCACTACTTAGTACTTAACAAGATAATTTATGCTGAATAAAATCTAGGAGGTTACATGAGAGGCTGTTCATCATGAGCTGCATCAGTGATGGTTAAGAGTGCAATTGTTGAGGAATCAAAGTGAAATTATTTTCTCATAATAAATTTCCAAAAATAAATGTTTTACAATTCCTATTGTTTGACCACTGTTCAAGATGAATTAGAAACTATCAAAAAGATAGCAAAAGGGAAATGAGTCACTTGGAAATATAGTGTGTGTGTGTGTGTGTGTGTGTGTGTGTGTGTGTGCATAAAACCCTTGTATAAAAAATTTCCATTATAGTCACTATACTTTTTTAAGTTAAAGTATCATTCATATACAATTTCTTGTTGGTTGCAATTATACAACATAGTGTTTCAACAGTTACTAATATTATTAAGTCCTCACACCCTCTAGTGCAGTCACTATCAACATAGTAAGATGTTACAGGATCATTAACTGTATTTGTTCTGTATTCCTGTCCCTGTGACCAACTTACATTGTGATTGTGAATTGTATAGTTGATACATTTTTTGATGCTTAAATTATCCCATCTCCAACCAGTGGGAATTGGGTTTTTTGACATGATCTCATTAGTAGTTTGATAGTTTACTTGGTTCAGCTGCACAGTTTGGTCAGCTATGGGAGATGCTTGGGCAACAACTCATTCTGAAAATTGATAAATAAGGGCAAAAAATACACATTTTGGTTTTTCCATGTGAACCATGTTTCAGGGCCACCAGAAGCTTCTCAAATGAAAGTTTTTTTTAATTTAAAAGATCTAACAAGTAATTAAATACAGAAATTTTGATAGGATTAGAAAAATCACTATTTTCTAGTTCCTGAATGGAACAATGGGTCCACAAAATGATCTTCAACCAGTATTAAAACTATTAGGTAAAATATTTTCTAGTGAAAACTTTATACTAGATTTGTCAAGCTCTGAGCCCTTTGATAAGTGGGAGTATCAGACAATGTCCATCTCCTGTTATAATGCAATAGGAAGTACACATCATTACCTATGAAGCCTTATTGTCAAAGTAATGGACTGAAGGAACCAAACCTCTACATCAAATTCTTTAAAACCAAGAATTTGGGGAGTAGATGAACAGAGTAAGTAAGTGGCACCATAAGGAGTCAGACAAATAGATCCAGAATATGTAAGTTTTACAAAACAATTGACCTGATTCTTTCTAATGAGTGGCATGAAAAAAAGAAGGGAAACTTAACAAAAGAGACTTCAGAGGCATCAACTAAATTCTGTGTGTGGGCATTAGTTGGACCTAGTTTGAAGAAAATATGAAAGGACATTTTGGAGACAGTGGGAGAAATGTGGATATGCAGTGAGTATTAGATGTTTAGAAATATTAATTTTGTTAGGGATGATAACATGGTTATTAAAAAAATAAAACTTACATGCTACAGATACATACCTATTATGAAATGATAAAATATCCAGATTTGCACTAAAATACTCCAGCAAAATAAAAAGAATTGGCAAAGAGAGCTGGACAGTAGACTGGCAAAATGTTGATAATTACTGAAGTGGAGTGGTTTGTTGAAGGGATTCAGTGTTCTAATTTTTTACTTTTTTATGTTTGAAAGGTTCAATAAAAAATTTTAAAATAAAAAATTATAGACTACTTAGAAATGATTGTTAATGCCTGCGTATTTAAACTTCACAGTTGTCACCAAAGTTCTCTTCAGCAAGAAATTAATGCCCTTTAATGCATTAAGGAACCTGTGGGCCCAGGTTCATCTTCACTTACCCACAGCAGTCAGTGCAAGGACTAATCACATAGGTAAATGTGTTAAAGGAATTAGTAAGCATTTATATCAAGAAATGGAACAAAATAAAACCAACACTGGTAAAGAGAAGCAAAGTACAGTTAAAAGTGGAAATTAAGAGACTGGACAATAATAGACTTAACTCAGTGTTAATAATGACTAGATTTTGGCAGGTCTAAATAGGAAAAGAAAATGAATACATTTAGGGCATTAATGATAAAGGTGACATAACTAGATTAGCAAGGAAATTTTGTTTTAATTATAGGGTAATACTAAATGTATTCCAGTACATGTAAAAATATAGAGGTATTACTTTTTTCTGTAAGAGTATATTATCATGAGTGACTGCTGTAAAGCCCAAATAGGCCAAAAAACTATGATGTGTGTGTATGAACTCCTTGTTGAAGAAAAAAAATATAATTGTACAGGTGAAAGCCTTAAGGAATAGATAATCCTTAACAAGATCTTACCAATTAATTCTGCACAGCTGAAATAATCCTGATACTAAACTAGATGAAGATAATTCCTATAAAGCAAAATCTAGTCCAGCTTCATTTATGAATATTTTATTCTTCATAATTCTAAATAAGGTATTTAAAATGTAGGACAAAATCAGTCTTTACTCATAGGTCAGTGTGTTGGCCTTTCCCAAGTACCAGATCCCTCCGGAAGACCTGTGTTATAGCATAAGGCCTTCACCCAACATTCTCAACAAGTTTGTTTTCAGGGAATTGTCCTCGATAATATTTGAAAATAGGATTTCTTGGGAAAATGTGTAAATGAGGCAAAGCATAAAAAATCTACTTTGGGAAAATCCAAGTACACATTATGAGCCTGTCAAAAGATACAAAGATATTTTTATTTAACACATTGTGTCTCAAGTTTACTTCATTATGGAATTCTCACTCCCAATATCTTTTAACACCTTTAGAAAGTGAGCCACTTTGGTAGATGCTACCATAACCACAATGAATGTCTGCAAAGATGTCATTTCAGAAGTTATGGTGAGTGATTGTGTTGGGAGGGGGTGAGGCAGGGCAATTTTCTTTCCAGCTCCCATATTCTAAAAACTACCTGCCTGAATGGAGAGCTAATGCTTTTCCATAGACTGCAAAAATTCCAGCCTGGTCTTTGATATGTATATATTAAACATGCTTAAATAGTCTATTAAATAGTGATTAGGACATAAATGATTTTTTCATTATAATAAAAACGCTATATTGAATACCATTTTGTGTATTTTCTGATTTCTTTAAAAAGCGATGAATCTCTCTAAGGTGCATATCTAGAAGTGAAACGGTTGCTGTAGGCTATATGTACTTTTAGCTTCACATACTGGGGGATTATTGCTCCATCACTGCACCAATTTTGAATCCTTCCAATCACTGAATATGAGTGTCTGTATTTCCCTAGCTCTGTGGATTTCAGTATTTAATTTCCCTGGTTACAAGTATTTTTTTTCATGTATTGGCCATTCATGTTTCCTTTACAGTGCTTTTTTTATTCACACATTTTTCTCTATTTTAGGTTATCTGATTGGTTTTTCAGGATTCTTAAAATATTCTGGGATTACACATTGGTAAACATTGGACTTATTTTCTCTCAAGGTGGCTTGTGTCATAACTCTGTTAAGGTGTTCATTGCTTTGCTGACATTTTAAATTTAGATACAGTTTCATTTACAACTTATCAGATACTCATCTTTATTTCTTTTTAGTCTTTTATGTTTCCTGCCAAATGGTTATGGCATATGTAAATATAGGAATATTTTCTCTCAGTATTTACATAATTTATTTTATATACATTATTGCAGTAGCTGGAATTTTCAGAATGAAATTGAGCTTTAATGGGGATAGCAGACATTTCCCTCATTTTTCCAGTCTAATGGAAATCACATATCTATTTAAGCATGTAGTGTAATGCATCTTGATTAGAGTAGTCTTTGTGATATACAAGTAATTCATTTAGTCCCTAATTTATTGCCTACTAGGGTTTGTTGGAAGCTATTTTATCATATGTTGATGTGAACATGTTTTTCTCGATGAATTTTCTGATATAGTAAATTATACAGATTTCTTGACAAATTCAGGGGTTCCTATACCACTCTTAGGTTCAGTTATGCACTAGAACAACTCAATTTGGGAAAGTAGTACACTTATGATTAATTTTATTATAGTGAAAAGATACAAAGTATAATTGGCTACAGAAAGAGATGCATAGAGCAGAGTGCGGGAGATCACATGTGGAGCTTCCAGTCATCTCTGCCTATGGACCCACGGATGGCATTACCTCCTCCTGACTGTGACATGACAATTCTAATGGGAAAGCTTACTCAAGCCTTTGGTCACCAAGAGTTTTTATTGGGGTTTGATCACGTTCTGTGCATGAAACTGATATTTAGTCTTCAGTTCCTTGAAAGTAAAGCTCATACGTTTAGTCTCAGTTCCTCCAGAAATCAGAACTGATAATTTTTCCCAATGCCCCATTGTAAATTACATCATTAACTGTGGCCCGTGCAAACCAAGACACTCCTATCAGGCAGGGCATTCCAGGGGTGTAGAAATTACTAGCAAGTCTAAAAACATGCTGCTTGCAATTAAGATCTTGTGTATTGTGCTCAGATGCTTTTCTTGAGACGATATTGAACTTGATGTTATCACATTGGGCTGACACCAAGAATCAGTGTAATGTGAGCTTAATCAGAGCAGAGTTGCAAGTCTAAGTGAATTTTATGTTTGCCTGTATTCCATTTTGCCAATTTATAGGAAAAAATGATGTCTTAAAGGCGGCGGGCAGTTCAGAAGAAGTACAGCAAGTCCCCCTTATCATGGTTTTGTTTTCCATAGTTTCAGTTACTGATGTTCAGTCATGGTCTGAAACTATTAAATGGAAAATTCCATAAATAAAGAATTCATAAGTTTTAAATTGTGTGCTATTCTGAATAGTGTGATGAAATTCTGCACTCTCACACTCAGTCCCACCCTGGACATGAATCATACCTTCATCCATATCCTTGCTGTAGAGACTACCCACCCATTAGTCACTTAGTAACCATCTCAGTATCACATAATTTTTATCTCAGTTATTCACAAAACTTTTATAGCAGTATATGGTTGTAACTGTTCTATTTTATTATTAGTTATTGTTGTTAATCTCTTACTGTGCCTAATTTATAAATTAAACTTTATCGTAGATGTGTATAAGAAAAAACATGGTATATATAGGGTTATGTACTATGTGGTTTCCAGCATCCACTTGGGGTCTTGGAATGTATCCCTTGTGGATAAGGGGGGAACTACTGTATTATTGGAAGAGGAAAATAAAAGAGGAAGATATCCTACTACACCAAGGGATAGAAAGAAACTTGTTAGTTTTTATTATATATAGGTAATATATGCTTAATTGGTCCTACTATATTACCATTCTCTTTTGTAAAAGTCTAACATGTAGGTATTTTAAGGTTACATAATATGTTCTACAAAATTTACACATCAAATAGTTAAAAATAAATTGCTGAATCAATAGAAACTATAAAAATGCTGTTATATTTTCAGACATCTTTTAATTAGTCCTACTAATAATTATTACTAATTACTACTGTTAACTAGTCCTATTATGTTGTTGAAATGATAGTATGTATGTAACAGAAAAGTAAATAACAATTTCAAATAAACCCTTTATGTATTAATACATATGTGTATCATTATTATATATAATACTATTATGAGAGGCTTTTGTTTATTTTATATGGATAAGCCCAAGGTTGCCTCTCTAAAAAGTTGATCATCCTATCATCCAGTGCCCATTTTAGATTTAAGCCAAACTCCTTACTTGCTGTGCTACAAACTACATTTCCCAGGACATTTTGTTGGTAATCTTTCTTGCCTATATTTCATTTGAAGTGGGAGGGGCAGGAATAAAGACATTCAAAAGGAAATGAAAGCTAACAACCTGTAGGTGCCTATTCATTAAATATTTTATATTCATTTTCTTTTTAACTGATTTTCATCAGTTCCCTAAATTTTTGTGTAGCTCTTTACTGAAATGAATCTTAAGGACAAATCTCAGCTAAAGGAAATATGTTCCCTTTCTCTAAGAATCTTGTCTTTATAGGTCATATATTTTTAAAACAATGGGTTCTTCTACCTTCCCATTATTCAAGAACACAGTCCTTCAGATTCTTACCTCTTCAGTAGCCCAAGTGTTACTTAGTATTTCTCTGCTATAACCAATACATTCAGAACTTAGGCCTTTGGGCCCTATTTACTTTTTTGAGGTAAGTACTGACATGCAACAAAAACCTTCAGTCTTATTTAATAGACAACTTCAAAAAGAAGATAAAAGAATGACCAATATGCCCATGAAAAGATACTCAACATCATTAGTTATGGAAATGCAAATTAAAACCACAATGAGACACCAAAATATGCATTAGAATAGCTAAAATTAGAAATATCAGCAAAGCAAAGTGTTAATATGGAGCAACTGGAACTCTACTGTTTGTGGGAATGTAAAATGGTAGGACCACTGTTGAAGATAGTTTGCAATCTCTAGTAGAATAGAACATAAACTTACCAACAAACTTTGGGATTTCACTCTTAGAAATTTACCCCAAAGAAATAAAACCATATTCCCAAAGCAGTCTAAGTGAAAGAAGCCATATGTAAATGAGCAAATACTGTATGATTGCTTTTTGTGAAATTATAGAAAATGCAAACTAAAGTGCAGTGACAGAAAGCAGATCAGTGGGACAGTTATAGAGGGAGAGGTTAATTGTAAAGGCCCACGAGGAAATTTTCTGAAGCAAAGGAACTGTTCTGCATCTTGTCAGGATAGTTACATGAGTCATTTTTTAATACTCCACACTTAAAATGAGTGCAATTTATTATATATGTTATACCTCAACAAAGTTAGTAAAATGACATCAAGCTATACATTTAAGATTTACACTCTTACTGCACTCCTCACCCCCCGTCCCCCCTCAAAAAAGAAAAGCAGATCTGGACATGTAGGAGCTGACCTGGTACTGACAACTATATTTTGGTAACTTCCCGTTGATCATAAATGATTTCACAGAACATCAACAACAAATGAGCATTTCTGTGACCCTAATGGATCAAGACAAAAAACACGATCACTCTGTAATCCTAACTAAACACAGACAAAACATGACCAATTTTCAAGCATGAAATGCTAAACACATTCCTGGATAATATGAGTGAGTGCTACTTCTTTAGCAATTATGATTTTAGCCTTGATTTAGTCTTCCCTCCCTACAGATAAGACTTATTAAAGGTACACAGTCATGGAATTACCTCCTGATTGCTGACAACATCCAATCCTGAGCAAAGCCCCACTTCCTTAAACCTCTAAATAAACAAAACAAAATCTTGTCTAACACCTTGACCCGTCTCCATGGTTCCCAATATTGTGTCTTCTGCTTTGCTGCAATGAGCAGTGAACCCACTTGTTTGACTACAGGAATGTTCCTGGTGGTGTTTGGGTCACACTGACATTTTGTGATATATATCTTTCAATAAAAACCTTAGATATAAATAAAGATACAGTATTTTTAGGTTTTCAGTTTTTGAACTTACTGACCAGAAGCTAATTGGATTTCAACAGTAAGGAGGTTGTACATTTATTTATTTAATCAAAGCCTTGAGATTACTTGTGGCAATGTTTTTAGTTCAATCAGTGGAAACAGAGAAAAGCTAATTATGTCCCAACTTGGCTGATACATCTGTCATTAATAGGCTGTTTCAGGTAAAACAGTCAGTCCTTTATTCTCCTTAAAATCCACCAGTTGCCTTCATATAACATTTGTGTGTGGCTGAGTTCTGAAAGAACTTTTTAAAAAAGATATCCCCCCTCACAAATCCACCAGGCTCTACTACAAAGCCACAGTAATCAAACCAATTCTGTGCTGGCACAAGAACAGATCCATATATTAAAGGAACAGAAGAGAGAGCTCAGATATAAACCCACACATATATAGTCAACTAATATACAATTAAGGAGCCATGGATATACAGTGGGGAATAGCCTCTTTAACAACTGGTGTTGGGAAAACTAGAGAACGACATGTAAGAGAATGAAACTGGATCATTGTCTAAATCCATACACAAAAGTAAATTTGAAATGGATCAAACCCTGAATGTAAGTCATGAAACCATAAAACTCATAGAAGAAAATATAGGCAAAAATCTCTTGAATATAAACATAAGCAACTTTTTCCTGAACACATCTCCTCTGGCAAGGGAAACAAAAATGAACAAATGGGAATACATGAAGCTAAAAAGTTTCTGTACAGCAAACGACATCATGAGCAGAACAAAAAGGCATCCTACAGTATGGAAGAATATATTTGTAAATGACATATCCAACAAGGGGTTAACATCCAAAATATATAAAGGACTCACATGCCTCAACACCCAAAAAACAAATAACCCGATTAAAAAATGGGTGGAGGATCTGAAAAGACACTTCTCTAAGGAAGAAATTTGGCCAACAGGCACATGAAAAGATGCTCCACATCGCTAATCATCAGGGAAATGCAAATTAAAATCACAATGAGATATCACCTTACACCAGTTAGGATGGCCAACATCTAAAAGACAAACAACAAATGTTGGTGAGGATGCACAGAAAGGGGAACCTACCTACACTGTTGGTCGGAATGTAAATTTGGTCAACCGCTGTGGAAAGCAATACCGAGGTTCCTCAAAAAACTAAAAACAGAAATACTGTTTGACCCAGTTATTCCACTTCTAGGAATTTACCTCAAGAAAACAAGATCCTGATTTGAAAAGACATATGCACCCCTATGTTTATCACTGCACTGTTTAGAATAGCCAAGATATGGAAGCAATCTAAATGTCCACCAATAGATGAATGGATAAAGAAGATGGGGTACATACACACAATAGAATATTATTCAGCCTTAAAAAGAAAAGAAATCCTGCCATTTGTAACAACATGGATGGATCTAGAGGGTATTATGCTCAGTGAAATAAGTCAGGCAGAGAAAGACAAACATACACACAATAGAATATTATTCAGCCTTAAAAAGAAAAGAAATCCTGCCATTTGTAACAACATGGATGGATCTAGAGGGTATTATGCTCAGTGAAATAAGTCAGGCAGAGAAAGACAAATACTAAACAACTTCACTCATTTGTGGAGTATAAAAACAAAGCAAAATGGAACAAAAAAAACAGTAGACTCACAGACACTGAGAAGGTACTAGTTGTTACCAAGGGGGAGTGTTGGGGAGAGTGGATGCAAAGAGAGAAGGGGATTAAGGGGTACTATAATTCACAATAACAATATAGGTAGGTTACTGGGATGGTAGTACAGCATGGAGAATACAGTTAATTATAGCAACTTACTACACTGATAGTGACTGCAGTGGAGGGGGTGAGGACTTGATAATATGGGTTAATGTTGAACCACTGTGTTGTGTATGTGAAACCATCATAAGATTGTATGTCAATGGTACCTTAATAAAACAAAATCTACCAGGCTCCATCATATGAAGTTGTGGTTTGCATCTGAAAGCAAGATCTCTTATACAAATAAGGAGATAAATTAGCATGAGTTATTATTTTTTGCTCCACATAAGGAAGAAAACATTGAATGAGTCACCTCAGGGAATCTCACTAGTTCAGTAAAGAATGTGTTACACAGTTATCTATAATAACTGAAAAGGAAATAAAACAGGTGAATGAATAAATAATGGATGGGGGTTGGGAATGGCAGTAAAAATTAATTTAATTACAGTATCCCCCTAATTTTCTATATTCTTAGTCAATTTTTCCTGTATCCATCTCATAAAATGATGAAAGATATAGGGTGGGAGTTGGGAGAGAGATGGGGAATAAATGCATGGTAATCAAATTAGTACATCTCTTTGGAAAGGGCTGAAGTGCACTGTCATTAAAGTAGTAAAGTCTTGGACCATTGCATTTGTGAATGGTAAATGGAGAGAGAAAGCCTTTCACCTTAGTATACATGTATGTAGAAGCTGTTAAATAAGAACCAAGATAAAATGACCCCATTTACTTTTATGCTCAAAAAAGATATTTTTTTCTCACCTGTTTTTTTCTTCTCTTCCATTCCCAACCACAGAATAGTATGTCCTTTAAAAAGAACATAAAAGTTATAAAGAAATATTAAAAAGGATAAATCAGTCATATTGGAGCCTTTTGTTAATTTCTAATTTGGGGCCACATTTATAAGTATCAGGCATTTTAGAATTCACTACAATAACATTTTTCTTATCTAGTGCTGTGACAAAACAATTGCCATATTATGACACAGTTAATTTTGATTTTCCATAATTTTATAAGTGAAAATTTTAGATTTTCAAGTGTTTTACTATTTAAGTAATTTTAATGTGAACATCTGCAGGCAACATGTTTTGCATTGGTTTCCTTGAGATAAAAGGAGGAAAAATCCTACTTCTAGGCATATAGTTAGTTATAGGGATCCTCAAATAGTAGCAAATTGCTTTTTAAAAGGAGGGTTTTTCCTTGAAAAAATAAAAACACCTGAAGAGGACAAATTTTGAAACAAAATGAAAGGGTCCGTGATGAAATATAAACCTGTATGCCACATGAGACCTATTATAGCTCACATCACAGACACAGCCGCCATTAAAAGTTCTTGGGCTGGCTCAGCCCCTGCCCTGCCTGCAAACGACTGTCACTTTCCCTCCCGGTGGAGTTCTCGACATTTTACATGGGGAGGCCTGGAAGATCTCACAGAGAAATTTAGCATCAACCAATAATTACAACAGTAAAGATTCTAACAGGTGCCTGAAACTTTCTTTTGCATCTTCTCTGCATTTCACTTTATAGACTTTTTCATTCATGTGATTTGGAATAAAAAATACAACGAAGAAGATTCTTAAGATGGCAGCATGAGTAGGGTGGCAGAAATCACCTTAAAAAGCAATATATATATTAAAAATACAGCAAATACAACTATTCCTAAAAGACCAGAATATATAGTACACCAGCCAGGCTACATCTAAATCTCCGAGAACTCAACATGTCACGAAAAGTGTAAGATACAAAGCTGTGACCCAGTGGGACCTGACCACTCCCCACACCCCAGCTCACTGGTGGGAGGAAAAGAATCAGAGTGGGGAGGGAGTTGGAAGCACAGGACTGCTAAATAACCAGCCCTAGTAATCTGCACTGGGAGCACAGACACACACTGCATGATGCACGGGATATTAGAGGAATGGAAAAGCATAATCTGAGACTAAGACTGCGAAGTGGTTCCCACAGCTGGATGCCTTGGGACAAAAGAAAAGTGGGTGCTTTAAAAGTCTTAAGGGGACAAGGGTTTAACAAGTGGACAGAATTGTCCAGGCACGCTCAGCCCAGGAGGCTGGGACTTTTAAGGAACTTCAGGCGCCCTAACCCCCTGGTTAGTAATGCAGCTCCAAAGACCCTCATGGTCATAAGCAGCCTGCCATTAATCCTCCCCCTCCAGCACTGCAAGCAAACTGGCTGACCCACCATTGCTGCAGCAATCAGAGTATTCTCCCACTGCATAGCTAACAGGGCCAGACCCAGAAGCTATCCCGTGCACACAGCTGCCTGGCACAAGCAGCAGGGACTGATGCAGAATCCAGAAGGAACAAAGGGGCTTTATTCTCGCAGTGAACATGCACTGCTTGACTGCAAACCTGCCTGTTTCCTAGGCCATCCTGAGGGCTGCCCCTCCCACAGTAGCTCAGGGGATTAACCCAGAGGCTTCCCCCTGCACCCGGTTGACAGTCACAGGCAGAGGAAACCGGCTCAGAGTCCGGAAGGCATGTAGAGTCTCTGTTCTAATGCTGAACACGTGCTGCTCGCCTGCAACCACTACCAGTTCCCTGGGCCATCCTGAGGGCCACCCTGCACACGTCAGCTCAAGGATTAACCCAGAGGTTGCTCCCTGCACCCGGTTACCTGGCACAGGCAGAGGAAGGTGGTGCAGAGTCCAAAAGGCACATAGGGGCTCCATTCTCATGGTGAATGTGCGTGGCTTGCCTGCAACCACTGCCAGTGCCCTAGGCCATCCCAAAGGTCGCCCTGCCCATGGCAGCTCAGGGGATTAACCCAGAGGCTGCTCTCCCTGTGTACAGTTGTCCTGCACAGGCAGCAGAGACCAGCACAGAGTCCGGAATGCATGAAGGGGCGCTGTTCTCATGGGAGAACACATGCTGCTTGCCTGCAACCCCTGCCAGTGCCCTAGGCCATCCCAAGGGACCCCTGCCCATGGCAGCTCAGGGGATTAACCCATAGGTTGCTCCATGTGCACAGTTGACCAACATAGGCAGTGTAGATGGGCAAGGCTACCAGCAAGCAGGAAGGGACTTTGTTCTCCCAGCTGACACATGTACCACTTGCCAGCAATCACTTCTATCACCATGAAAAGGCAGAAGGATATTGCTCAGTACAAAATCCCTCAAACACTAGAGAGAGGGCCTGGTGAGACCGAAGTCACCAATCTTCCTGAAAAGGAATTCAAAATAAAAGTCATAAGCATGCTGAAGGGGATAAAGAGAAATATACAAGACCTAAGGGATGAGTTCTGGAGGGAGATAACAGAAATTAAATGAACAATGGAAGGATTTAAGAGAAGACTGGATGAGATAGAAGAAACTGTTAATGGAATAGAAATCAGAGAAAAGGAATGCAGAGAAGCTGAGTCAGAGAGAGATAAAAGGATCTCTAGGAATGAAAGAATATTAAGAGAACTGTGTGAGTAATCCAAACAGAACAATATTTGCATTAGAGGGGTATCAGAAGAAGAAGAGAAAGAAAAAGGGATAGAAAGTATCTCTGAAGAAAAAATTGCTGAAAACTTCCCTAATCTGGGAAGGAAATAGTCTCTCAGATCATAGAAGTACAGAGATCTCACAACACAAGGGAACCAAGGAGGACAACACCAAGACATATAATAATTAAAATGGCAAAGATCAAAGAAAAGGACAGAGTATTAAAAGCAGCCAGAGAGAGAAAAAAGATCACCTACAATGGAAAATCCATCAGGCTATCATCAGACTTCTCAGCAGAAACCTTACAGTCCAGAAGAGAATGGGATGATATATTTAATGCACTGAAGCAGAAGGGCCAAGAACCAAGATTACTTTATCTGGCAAGTTTATCATTTAAATTTGAAGGACGGATTAAAAAATATCCAGATAAGCAAAAGCTGAGGGAATTTACCACCCACAGACCATCTCTACAGTGTATTTTGGAGGGACTGCTAAAGACAGTGTTCCTAAGGTTTAATATCTGTCATCAGAGATAATAAAACCACAGTAAAGAAAGTAGAGCAGCTAATTACAAATCAAATGCAAAATTAAATCAACTATCCCTAAAGTCAATCAAGGGAAAGACAAAGAATACTGAATATGGTAACTAATATGTAAAGAATGGAGGAGGAAGAAAAAGGAGAAGAAAAAAAAAGAACCTATAGATTGTGTTTGTAAAAGCATATTAAGTGAGTTAAGTTGGATTCTTAGATAGAAAGGAAGTTAAGCTTGAACCTTCGTAACCACGAATCTAAGGCCTGCAATGGAAGTAAGTACACACCTATCTATAATCACCCTAAATGCAATGGATTGAAAGCACCAATCAAAAGACATAGAGTCACTGAATGGATAAAAAAAAAAGACCCATCTATATACTGACAACAAGAAAGTCACTTTAAACCCAAAGACATACACAGACTAAAAGTGAAGGGATGGAAAAAGATACTTCATGTAAATAATAGGGAGAAAAAAGCATGTGTTGCAGTACTTGTATCAGACAAAATAGACTTCAAAACAAAGAAAGTCACAAGAGACAAAGAATGACATTATATAACTATAAAAGGTCAATCCAACAAGAAGATATAACTGTTATAAATATCTATGCTCCCAACACAGGAGCACCTACATATGTGAAAGAAATACTAACAGAATTAAAAGGGGAAATAGAATGCAATTCGTTCGTTCTAGGAGACTGCAACACTCCACTCACTCTGAAGGACAGATCAACCAGACAGAAAATAAGTGAGGAGACAGAGACACAGAAGAATATATTAGAAAAGATGGACCCAACAGACATCTACAGAAGTCTACACCCAAAATCAGCAGAATACAGATTCTTCTCAGTGTACATGGAACATTTTCACAGATAGATCACATACTAGGCCACAAAAAGAGCATCAGTAAGTTCAAAAAGATTGAAATTGTACCAACCAGTTTCTCAGACCACAAAGGTATGAAACTAGGAATAAACTACTCAAAGAAAATGAAAAATCTCATAAACACATGGAGACTTCACAACATGCTCCTAAATAACCAACAGATCAATGACCAAATAAAAACAGATTTCACACAATATATGGAGACAAATGACAACAATAATTCAACACCACAAAATCTGTGGGATGCAGTGAAGGCCGTGCTAACAGGAAAGTATATTGCAATACAGACTACCTCAGGAAAGAAGAACAATCCTGTCTGAACAGTCTAAATTAGAAATTAACAAAGCTATTAAAAGAAGAAAAAATGAGGCCTAATGTCAGTATAAGGAGGGACTTAATAAAGATTAGAGCATAAATAAATAAAATGGAGAATAAAAAAATAGACAGCAAGATCTTGTTCTTTGAGAAAATAAAATAGATAAAACCCTAGCTAGACTTATCAAGAAAAAAACAGAGTCTACTCACATAAACAGAACCAGAAATGAGGAAGGAAAAATCACTATGGATACCACAGAAATGCAAAGAATTATTAGAGAATGCTATGAAAAATTATATGCTAACAAACTGGATAACCTAGAAGAAATGGACAACTTTCTAGAAAAATACAACCTTCCAAGGCTGACCCAGAAAGAAACAGAAAAATCTGAACAGACCAATGATGAGTAACTAAATTTAACTGGTAATCAAAAAACTCCCTAAGAGCAAAACCTCTGGACCAGATGGCTTCACGGTTGAATTTTATCAAACACTTAGTGAAGACAATACCTATCCTCCTTAAAGTTTTCCAAAGAGTAGAAGAAGAGGGAATATTTTCAAACTAATTCTATGAGGCCAGAATCACTCTACTACCAAAACCAGGCAAAGACACCATAAGAAAAGAAATTATGGACCAATATCCCTGATGAACACAGATGCAAAAATATTCAACAAAATATTAGCAATCCAAATTCAAAAATACACCAAAAAGATCATCCATCATGATCAAGTTGGATTTATTCCAGGGATGTAACGATGGTTCAACATTCGAAAATCCATCAACATCATCCATCACATCAACAAAAAGGACAAAAACCACATGATCATCTCCATCCACATGATCATCTCCATAGATGCTGAAAAAGCATTTGACAAAATTCAACATCCATTCATGATAAAAACTCTCAACAAAATGGGCAAGTACCTCAACAGAATAAAGGCCATATATGATTAACTCACAGCCAACATTATACTCAACAGTGAGAAGCTGAAAGCTTTTCCTTTAAGATCATGAACAGAACAAGGATGCCTACTTTCTCCACTTCTATTCAACATACTGCTGGAGGTCCTAGCCATGGCAATCAGACATCACAAAGAAATAAAAGGTATCCAGACTGTTAAGGAAGAAGTTAAACTATCCCTGTTTGCAGATGACATAATATTGTACATAAAAAACCCTACAGAATCAACTGCAAAACTACTAGATCCAATATCTGAATTCAGCAAAGTTGCAGGATACAAAATTAATATGCAGAAATCTGTGGCATTCCTATACACTAACAGTTAACTAGCAAAAAAGAGAAATCAGGAAAACAATCCATCCACAGTTACATCAAAAAGAATAAACCTAACCAAGGAAGTGAAAGACCTATACCCTGAAAAATACAAGAGACTCTTTTTTTTATTAATTAATTTTGTTGTCATTAATCTGCAATTACATGAAAAATATTATGTTTACTAGGGTCTCCCCTTCACCAAATCCCCTCCACAAACCCCATTACAGTACTGTTCATCAGCATAGTAAGATGCTGTAGAATCACTACTTGTCTTCTCTGTGTTGCACAGCCCTCCCCATGCCTCCCCCCACATTATACCTGCTAATTGTAATGCCCCCTTTCTTTTTCGCCACCCTTATCCCTCCCTTCCCTCCCTTTCTCCCCAGTCCCTTTCCCTTTGGTAACTGTTAGTCCATTCCTAGGTTCTATAATTCTGCTGCTGTTTTGTTCCTTCAGTCTTTCTTTGTTCCAATAGTCTTTGGGTTTGAGATGAGTCTCTTGTAAGCAGCATAGAGATGGGTCTTGCTTTTTGATCCATTCTATTACTCTGTGTCTTTTGATTGGTGCATTCAGTCCATTTACATTTAGGGTGATTATTGAAAGATATGTACTTATTGCCATTTCAGACTTTAGATTCGTGGTTGCCAAGGTTCAAGGTTAGCTTCTTTAATATCTTACTGTCTAACTTAACTCACTTATTGAGCTATTTTAAACACTGTCTGGTCATTCTTTATTTTTCTCCCTTCTTATTCCTCCTCCTCCATTCTTTATATGTTGGTTGTTTTATTCTGTGCTCTTTTGTGCTTCTTTAACTGCTTTTGTGGGTAGTTGATTTTATTTTTTGCCTTTAGTTAGTATTTGGTTAGTCTGCTTTCTTTGCTGTGATTTTATTTTCTCTGGTGACATCTATTTAGTCTTAGGAGTGCTCCCATCTAGAGCAGTCCCTCTAAAATACCCTGTAGAGGTGGTTTGTGAGAGGCAAATTCCCTCAACTTTTGCTTGTCTGGGAATTCTTTAATCCCTCCTTCATATCTAAATGATAGTCATGCTGGATATAGTATTCTTGGTTCAAGGCCCTTCTCTTTCATTATATTAAATATACCATATGCCATTCTCTTCTGGCCTGTAATGTTTCTGTTGAGAAGTCTGATGATAGCCTGATGGGTTTTCCTTTGTAG